AGATTTAAAATGTCAACGTCCACATTTTTTGCAGCTAACATTGCTCTTTCTGCAAGCCACTCGAGATTTATGTAATTCGTGTGTACATCGGGAAATATTTGTTCAATGAGAGCATCTTGCGAATCAATGATAGTGCAGAAATCATTCGCTAATTTTATGTATCCAGTTTCAGCTATAGTGACTTTTCCATCACCGATATATAAGAGTTGTTTAGATAATGTTTCAGCGGATGGATCTTGAAGTATTTGAACGCGCATATTTACTTTCAGCTGTACTATTTCAACATTACGCCACAATGTCGATGATTTTAAGCAGGCGTTGATTTCATCAGCGTATGTTGAACGTGGAATGACAGGAAGTGTTTGTCTGAAGTCACCTGAAAGGACTAACAGAGTGCCACCAAATAGTTTGTCGTTGTTTTTAATATCTTTCAATGTCCTGTTCAACGCCTCAAGCGAATGTTTGTGTGCCATGGTACATTCATATTTTCCACTCTAAACACCGCCATGTCACTGCCTTTATGGACATAATTGCAAATGTATTTGATGCTCTTCACAGAACTGCAAAACTCAACATTAATATGAGCATTGTATGTTTTGCTCAGCAGGGGCGAATATGGCACGACCCAACGATTGTCAATATCAATGTCTGTGTTGCTGATGTTTATAATAAATGATTGTCCGCCATTATCTGGATTCCTTCGACGATATATTGGATATCCGTCGACATTTGTGATTGTATCGTTAGTGAAATCTTCAGGGATTTTTTTTGTACTTTTTCCATCTGACATGCAAGGCGATGAACTAAAAATGTTTAACTACTACGCTTGAAGCATAAACACTAATAATAGCCGAAAACTGTAGAGGTAACATCCCTACTCCGTGCTGTTTACTGTGTCAGAAGTGACACCTGTAGACATCTGGCGGGGATAACTAATTAAATGACGATTGATCAGTTTTCGACCGGAGAGGAAAAATGATTAAATTACTAAAATGGCTATTAAAAAATAAGGGTTGATCGTAGAAGGGTGAAAATTGAAGATTGTATGTATTTTTGTATGTTGTATCATAAAAAAATAGAAATTAAAAATGTTGTCTAAAAATTAAAAAAAAAATTTTTGGGTGGGACTACCCCTAACATTTAGGGGGATGAAAAATAGATGTTGGCCGATTCTCATAGATACCGGATAAGCACAAAAAATTTCATCAAAATCGGTCAAGCCGTTTCGGAGGAGTATGGCAACGAAAACTGTGACACGAGAATTTTATATATTAGATATATTGTCTTTGGTCAAATTGAGAATAAATGAAATATTGTTTGTCTTTATTAATATTTGTCTAAGTGTAGTCTTGGCAAAATCTGTGATGAATAGAATCATAATAGCGTGCAAACTTATAATTTCAGTTAATTATAGTCAAATTCCGACTGCCGGGGGACCACTAGTTCTGATAAAGAGCGAAGGTCGTTCTCACCGACGTTCGCCGATTCTACCCCAGCAGGTTATTCTGAGGACGCATGTAGCAACGTTTAGGCGGGTCCCAAATATCTTCCTATAGCTCGGTCGCGTCTCTGACATCCCTAAGGGCAATACGTGATTTTTTTGTGGGTTCAGGCTAACAGAGCCTTTTCGAGCGATATCTCAGCGAGGATGGGAAGCTCAAGCAGAAACGATTTATTTCATACTAGCTTTTGCCCGCGACTCCGTCCGCGTGGAATAGTTACTTGGGCATAACGCTAAATTTTACCCCCCGCTTCATTTACGTAGAAAGTGAAAATATTTTTGAATTATAGAATGTTGAGGAGCTATTTAAACCCCTATTTTGAAACATCTTTTATTGGTGCTCTACTTACCGTGTCCGGTCTTACCATGATGCTATATAGCCTATAGCCTTCCTCAATAAATGGGCTATCTAACACTGAAAGAACTTTTCAAATCGAACCTGTTCCTGAGATTAGCGCGTTCAAACAAACAAACTCTTCAGCTTTATAATGAGCCGTTACCGTCGGTGATGGACGTTAGCAATTACAGCGGCACGGTCAAGCTGCTGAAGACTCCTGAAACCTCAGACCTTTTACAGCGCTGTGGAAGTTCATTCCAAAGCCGTAAGCCGTAAAAAGTAGTACGTGATAAAAGGATAGGTCTGAAATCGTACTGTAGATGAACGCAATGGATCTAGGGCGTATTGATGATGTTGAATCGGCTCTTTTTCCCATTTCAGTTTTTTTGTGCTCTTAAAAAAAAGACTCAAATCAATTCCGTATTTTATAAATATAAAGTACTTGACATCCATATTCCAGTGTATTCCAATCCTATGATCAAAATATTCGAGTATTTGATTACTTACTAAGTATTCGAGTTGGTACTCAAGTCGGTTTGACCCGGTGTCTCTCTATTAAGAAGTATGGATGAAAATTGCTCCGGTGGTGGCTGAATGAGTTCGATGTTTATAGCTCTTACACTTGGAAAAAAGTATAATTCCTATAAACCTCCACCTCTGACTATGTCGTATCCCGCTTCCTATTGGATCGTATTAAATTTGAATACGGCTTAAAGGCTCTAATCATCTTTAAGATATAATATTAGATAAATAATAGATATAATACTAGACCTTTCAAATTAAGAAAGCGGTATCATGACTGTTATCACAATTAAAGCTTACCTACCCAGGAAACGTAACGTTGAATAATTGAATATTAATTTGTTTTAATTCGTTCTTGTAATTGATAATGTAGGGATAAAAGGAAAGAACGACTTCCTTTGCAATATGTATATACTCTTATACAAATTATGTGTTACACATGCCGAGTTTTGTCAATCAACCAAGATAGGTTTTCCTTTTTTTATGATTTTTCCGTATAGTTGCATTTTTAAATAGTATAGTTAAAGTATTTATTTATGTACAAGAAATGTATTTTTGATTTTTGTTTCATAGGATGAAGCAGATAAATCAAGTGACAAGGTCGAAGACAATGCCAACAACCGTGTCAACAAAAGGTTCGTGTCATTACGTTTGAATCAAATATTTTCAATATTATCAAGTCATTATAAAACTACAACACCGATATCAATTTGAAGAAATCATTTCTGAAAAATACCAATACAAAAATGTTTATTTTCTTCACGTATATAAGTACGATAGTTAATTGACATTCATAAAAAATATTCTTAGATTGAATCATTGTTCTGCATTGTTATCACTTATAAGGAGTTAGAATACCAATAAAAAAACATACGGTCCGAATTCATCAGAACATTATCTTGAAGTCTGTTAAAAAAAAACCGTAATTGTAAATATGTATTTAATTTGTTTTACACTGTCACTGTCACACATTTTTAATGGCCGGCACGGGTAAGTACGTACCACCACCCACCACCCTGCTCATTTCTGCCATGAAGCGGTGATGCGTTCGGTTTGAAGGTCGGGACACCCGCTGAACTGTGAAACAAAAACTTGGAACTCATGTCTTATTGATGGCACTTATATTATTGATAGGCTCCGGTAACCACTTAACATCAATCTATGCAATAACAAAAAAAAAANTAAAGTTTATAATTAACAAATAAAAAATAGGGGTTGGTCATAGAGGGATGAAAAATTGAGAGTAAAATCAGATTTTTTATTTTAATTCATGACAAAATAAAAATAAAAATGAAAATCTTGCCAAAAAAATCAAAAGTTTATAATTAACAAATAAAAAATAGGGGTTGATCGTAGAGGGGTGAAAATTTCAGAGTAATATGATTTTTTTTATTCTACGTCATGACAAAATAAAAACAAAATTCTCGCAAAAAAATTTAAAGTTTTTAATTAGCAAATAAAAAATAAGGGTTAATCGTAGAGGGGTAAAAATTTAGGGTTGTATGTATTTTTGTATGCTGTATCATAAAAAAATAGTAATTAAAATTTTTGTCTAAAAACTAAAAAAAAAAATATAGGGGTGGACTACCCCTAACATTTAGGGGGATGAAAAATAGATGTTGGCTGATTCTCATAGATACCGGATAAGCACAAAAAATTTCATCAAAATCGGTCAAGCCGTTTCGGAGGAGTATGGCAACGAAAACTGTGACACGAGAATTTTATATATTAGATATTAATATTAATACTATTGAATACGTAATTACAAATTTAAAAGCATAGTATAATAATATATTCCTTTTCCTTAAACGTGTTCCTGTTCTGCGCCGTATTCTATATTTACACGTTAGTTTGTGCTCCATTCAGAGGGAAGCTCTCAGTGCTGTGACGTCTTACATTCGGTAGACTCATCGTTTCAATTTATTATTGCAACACGCGCACTGAAATATATATCGTTTTCTCGGGATAATCCGTTTGCCTAGTGAATTATTGGATCGATATTAAATTCGATATGTCCACAAACAACATGTCCGTGTTTGCGAGAAGAAAAAGACAGTATTTAGAAAATGTGTGCAGTGAGTGATATAATTGTGTGGTCTAAATGAATACGAAGATAATATGGTCGCTTTCAGGTATAATTTATTATTACAAGAACATAAATGAAACGATAACCGTTATAAAAGCGGAATAAACGGGAATGAACAGATTATATTATTCGTTTGACGAGAACGTACCTAAAGCTTTCATAAACATCTCGACAATATTAATAATGAATCCGTACTTTTTTATTTATTTAATTAAATCAAATAGAACAATTAGAACTAACTCATAAAGCATTCGTCAATATTCGTTATATTTTTTACAAATTTTATATAATATAAGGAAAAATTATTAAATACGACAAATTATGAAAAAATACGTAAATGTAACTGCACTTTACAGAAAAATAATTACAACTAAGCAATATGTTATCTAAAAATACCTACCAGATATGTTATCTAAAATTTTTAATCGTAAAAATCGTTACACACATTATTTACACTTATAAATTCATTGAATTTAGTAACCATAAGGTATGAAAATAATTAAATAAAACTAAAGAGAACCCACAAGATGAGTCGTATCATGGCGAAATTTGGTTGCGATGCGTGGTATCGTCTCTGTGTTAAACCTCTCCTGAATTGGCCTGACGATGGGCGTTCTGTGTTCGTTCTAACGTCTACAGACGCACATGGGCGGCATCGCAATGTTTTGGCAACATGCCGCGAACGCTATTTTTGATAAACCTTGAATGAACCGCCCTTGCCGCTTAAATACAACTTCATCGACAACTTTGTGTTCCACAAGAACGTCACATAAAAGAAATAAACACGAATTGTCGTTATAAGCAAAAAGTATTTATAAACCGCAAAATTTTAATAATTTAAGCGTTAAACCGAGCGCTGTAGAGTGCTTGTTACTCAACAGTCTGCTGGATCACAGTGTCAAGGGAGCTGGTCGATGTAATCGAAAATGTTTCTTATACATCACGTACTACGTTTCGATATGGGTAAACGCCAGTGGCCTAAAACGCAAAGGTGCCTGGTGTATTCATTCATAGTGAGTTATGGCCATCGATTTTTAATTCGATTAAAAACCTAAGTAGGTATATCACTACATAGTATAAAACAAAGTCGCTTTCTCTCTCCCTATGTATGCTTAAATCTTTAAAACTACGCAACGGATTTTCATGCGATTTTAATAGATAGAGTGATTGAAGAGGAAGGTTTATATGTATAATAACATCCATTAAATAGTGGAGAAATCAATAATAAATTACAGTTTCCGAAGCGATACGAGGGCGGGTCGCTATGCTTTAATATAAAAAATTACGAGTCCAAGGTTAATAAGACAATAGTTCAATATTTGATTTGCATAATTAGTAACATTAAAATATTTAAGTAATTGCCAAATGCAATAAACCTGTGCAGCCAGCCAGCGTGTCGTCCCTCGCGAAGCACCGAGCCGGCTTGTACTCGCACCGGTGAAAGGAAGGTTAAATACTCCGCCAATAAGACAAATTGCAGCAACCTTACTAAAAATGGAATCGCACCACCGTGATTTCATTCTTAATTGAATAATAATAAAAACGAATTCAGCTAAATATAAATAGAAAAAGCTAAAAAAAAAGATTAAATATCATATTCCCAGGTGTTTCCGAACCGATTTTTTTATTTTGTTTGTTTAGAAGCCATAGATAGACATTAATTCTTTAATTTCAAAATATCGATTAATAAACATATCATAAATGTGGTCATTTAAACTTTGAGGTGTCAGTGATTAGTAGGTTTCTAAATTTTACTTGGTGTAAGGAGGCTAGGTGTTGCAACTCCTGTTTCCCCAACACTCATTAGAATACTTTTCCCACCAAGACGAATAAAAATGCAAAAAAGAAACAAAGATTATTTTAAGTACTTGGTAGAAATAGATTTAGTGATGGTACGTGCAGGTACTACCAATCTGTCTTAATTCCGCGAAGAAGTCACACGGCTATGATTGAAGGATAGCTATTATACAATACAATTGGGATTTTGATGTACTTCTCAAGTTGGGTGTTGGCATCTACATTGTGAAATCTATGGGCTTTGGTAATTACTTAACACTAGGTGTGCTGTGACCCGGTCCACCCATTTAATATTAATAAACGTAAATAACTTTAAACTTTTGATTAGATAAATTTATAGATATATATATAACGTATAATTTATTAAAGATCATTTAACTATTTCTGCAGCTATTGTTTTCAAACACAAATTTTCTAAACCATTACACAGCCCTAAAATATGGGGTGATGTTCTAGAGTTTGAAACTCCCTTCTCGAACTAAAATTTAAATTCATTAAAAAAAAACGTATACATACGATTTTCTACACGCAATCATATACCATCTGCGCATCCTACCAGTTTATAAGCTCCAGCAGAGCTGAATGAAATATGAAATCCGCTTTCTCTAATTTCAAAATAATGTTTTTCTAAGCCAATAATAGTTTACTTAAAATATGATGGCAGCCACACGATTCGACATTGAATTTATCAACGTCAATATCTTGAGACCTCCTGCAAGCTTTGCATAGTCGGGCTGTGATCTCGGACACGTTCATGCAGCTCGTACTGTAAATGCTGGATTACGTCATGAACTGGGCATCTCATTACTGTTTTAACAAGGTCGAATAAGCAACTATGGACATATGAGCTCTTCGTTTACCCTACATGTCAAGTGGAAACCGGAGATAGGTAATAAAGCGATGTCGCTACACATCTTTAAACGTAAAAGTGAAGTCACAATTGCTTTACAACGCTCTTCGAGCCGGTACACATGATGGTAGTACCCATCCCGCAAGTTGCCTTAACAACAGTACTTGGGATAAGAAACAAAGGGAGTTGAGGGAGGAATTAAATAATACGGGTTATCAGAATGTAGAGCTAGTAGCTCTAGCGTGATGACCGACTAAAATATTATCGTTACCTACCATATTACGATTAAGATTTAAAAGCTTATTGCACTAATTGAATAAGACGAAGTTCGCCTGGTGTTATACATTCGTTCAAAAAAGTATTGGGAGTGGATGATTTTTTATGGTTCCGAAGCAATTTTTTTATCGTTATTATATTGACGCAACTGTTTCCCCTTTTTGACGCGAAGTAAAAAGCGTTCAAAAGCGGTCTAGATGTGTTAGAAGATTTGCGTCCCTTTGGTAGGCTATGAACATTTGTAATTGTTTTTTTTTTTTTAATTACGCGATGTTGTGATGATGTGTACAAGATATAAGGGAGAATATACGCTGAGAACCGAACACGATTCCGTAAAAAGCGTATAAAATGGTTTGATGATTTGATTATTTGTTGGCGTAATAATTTTAAAATGTATCATTTTCGAAGGGGTGGGTATACTTTGAAAGTGATAAAATAAATTTTAATGAATAACTAACATTTTGTGTATTATCGATCTTTTCCGGTACTTTCTTGACAGAGAAATACAATAAAAAGGACTTTTTTCCAATTATACAATACACCAAAATAATGTCAATTTACAGAAAAAGTAAATTAAATTTAAAATTAAAGTACAATGTGTGGACTTATCGGTGAAAACGATCTCTTCATGACAACCTCTTCAAATCTTGTGTGTACCGGAGTCACCACTAAGAAACTGCCGCCATTCCCTTTGAGACGTTGGAAGTAGTAATTGTATCGTTTGGTGGGTGTTCCAACCTTTAGGTTAGGACTGTTTTGCCACAGGAATTATCGTGATGATGATATCTACTAGTGCACAATGCGCTTTATCAAGTAAAGTAAAACAAAAACAATGAAATAACTAGGCATTGAATAGCTGGTCAAGGCCTTGCGGTTCGTGCATACAATTAACTCGAATTGGAGCTAGCCTCTCGTATTTAGTAGTGGAATAGTGGACTGGTCTGTTTTAGGGTTCCGTAGACAAATCGTAAAAACCCTTCTAATTACGTCATATGCGTCGACGTGTATATCACAACAATTTTGCTAGAAGACAGAACGGACGCCTATTGGTAGCTAGTGCCAAAATTCGAATAAGGTGGTCGCATTCGGGCTTGTTCGCCTGTGTACAAATAGATGAGGCATCATAAATTAAAAATTCAAATTCAAAATCATTTATTTCAACTTAGATGTCTCAGTATGACACACTTGTTGAATGTCAAAATATAAATAACAATGTTAACTCTACCACCGGTTCCAAAAAAAGCCACAGTCCTGAGAAGAACCGGCGAAACAATCTCAGCGGGTTTTTTTTTTTTTTTTGTTTTTTCTCAAATATTTTCTTTTTTTTAAATAAATAAAAATATTTAAAATAAAAGAAAAAACAAATTACAATTAAAAAAATAATAATAATAATGAAAAATGAAAAGGCCAGGAGCGAGCGCCTCATTCCCACGTAGTGCCATCTAGTAAATAATCCTTAACTTTATAATATGCCTTGTTGCACAAACGTTCCTTAACAGTTTTCTTAAATCTATGAACAGGTAGTAATTGAACGTTTAGTGGGATCTTGTTGAAAAGCTGTACACCCAGCCCCCTAAAAGAGTTGCTTATTTTCTTAATTCGAGCCGCCGGCAACGCAGGCCTATGTTTGTTCCTAGTGTTCACATTGTGCAAATCGCAGATTCTGGGGAATTCTTCAATGTTTTTACGCACGTACAATAAATTTTCAAAAATGTATTGGGACGCTAAAGTTAGAATTTTGATTTCCTTAAACTTGTCCCTCAAGGATTCCCTTGGGTGCATATTATAAATAGCACGAATAGCCCTCTTCTGTAGGATGAAAATCGTTTCGACATCGGCAGCATTGCCCCATAGCAAAATGCCATAGGACATAACACTATGAATAACTAAAAAACTAAATAACTAATACTTGATATATATTAATTTGTTTTTTAGCCTCAATGAATGCTACTTCGCGAATAAGGGCTCAGCAGTGGTGCTGGGGGGTACGGAGCGCGGCTGCATGGATCAGAGACCATCCCCAGTTCGCTCATGTCCCCAGTCTGACATACAAAATCACCTTCAATCTATGTTCTACTTATTGCGCCCTGAAGAGACGCTCAAAATGGTAAAAAAAAAACGATTTATTTTGTAAACGAATTAAGCGAGTATTTGTTTAATGTCGCAAAACGATCGTTTCAGGCGGTGAAACTGGAAAGCGCTCACCCAGGCCGAACAAGATACCTGGTAGTGGTTTGCCGTAATGAAGAATCTGCGTTATTGGGTATCGACTGTAATGAGCGCACAACTGTTGGACTAGTCCTAAGAGTCCTGGCCGACACATCCATAAAACTAGACGGAGATGGGTAAAAAAGACACAACTTAATAAATGCTTTATTTGAAAGTCGAAAACTAAGATCCCGACTAACGTCGACCTTCATCCATATGTTTACCGAAATGGAAATAATGTTGTATCAATCACTAGTGAAACTCGGCCACGCTCCGCTCTGCCTATCACGAAACATAATAATATAAACATCACTCATTAAAACTACTCGCGCGCCACCTGTCGTATGTTGCTAGTACTAATGTTAATTTTTCCCTTAAGTGCGCGAACACGTAGATGTTAAACAAACAAAGATTGTCATATTTCGAATGATTTGGCTTATAAAATTGAAAGCCTTCTTTTTACAAAAATATTTTGTTCATTTATTGTTTAATTTTGTTGGTTTTGCTAAGTATATTCAGTAACCGCTACTGATTTGGTAGGAAATAAAAACAAGAGAAGATTAGGTTAGCGATCCTTTTTGGTAGCGAAAACCTATAAATTCATAGCAAACAAGGTATATGAAAAACTAAAGCAAAAACAGTCAATTGGCGTAATATCGTAAAAAAAAAAATCAAACTGGACTTACTGATTTCTTGGCAACCTTTTCAATAAAAGTATGTACATGCTAGTTCGTAAATTTTATTATTTAATATGTGTAATGCATAATAAACACAATGGTTGTGGCTGGAGTCTGCCCAAATATATGTTTAAAAAATGTTACTAATTTTGAACAAACTATGCTTAGGTTTTGTGAATACTAAAGGAAACCACCACGTATTTTCATATTCAAAGTTTTGATTCTAAGACGAGCTTACGCCCCATTTGATGGAAAGTGACTAGCACAACTAGCAGTTCATTGCCTACCGTCAAAACCTCGTAAAAAGACAACGAAATCATAAGGAAATTTTGTTTTTTTATGGCTATATTAGTAATTTGTCTATAAAAACACGGAAAATTTTCGTACACACACAAATAGTGATAGGTATTATATTCCCAAACAACAGTTGAAAGGGACGAAATCTTTGAATTCATAGTCTTAAATGTAAAGAGGCGCTTGAAGGTAGATGTTAGTCGGTCCAACACTACGAGGATTACATCTTTCAAATCATTATTTGACACGTGTCATAATATATTAACTACATATATTATATTACTAATATTGATTTTAAATTTTCAACAGCGGATTCAGCGTCTGTGTATGTAACCAACAGCATATATTTAAGCCAGTCTCCGTACAAGCCATGTGGTAAGGTTCAATATTGTTTTGCGGGGCGTGAATTTGTTGATTAAACGATTAAAAATGTCGTCCATTATTGTTGTAGCTTATTAAAAAAAGTTTGACTTTTATTTCAGGTCTGCTTTGCAAACGCTCCATCGGGCTAGTGCCAGAGCGCGACAGTTAAATCATTTTGCAGGGGGACCTTCGCATTCTTGGTGCGTCTTCTATGAGAATCATGTGGACTCTGATCGTTCTTGTCTTAACGAATGGCACGCTATGGATAACATCGAGTCGCGTCGACCGCCATCGCCTGATTCAGTCAGATTAAAGTGAGTATCATTAGAGAACATTAATATTGGGCTGCATTGCTCTTGCTAGGGTTAATGTTAGCAACGTCGTCAAGTTAGAGCCCCGTGAGCTTAGATACTAGTTCTGTGAATCTAGTATAACCCCTCGAGTTTACTAGAATAAGTAGGGAAAAAAATTAAATCGGTCTGCTGCTGTAAAAGCTTCAAATTCGGTCATCAGTGAAGTGTTTTCTAGTCGACTTCTAAAAACAACACCCAACCAATTTCGTGCTCGGCCGCAGATTTCCACGCAAATTGTTATTAAGGGTGCGGCGGCGTTGTAATTTGTATCGGCTATATAAATACTAAAGAGAAGTAAAAGCCGATGCCCGATGAGAATTAATAATAGTAAAAACCGTTTTTTTTGTGGATTTACTACAATGTCATAATAATTACGGTATTAATTACGACACACGAATTCTATGCAACTGCATTAAACAATCGGACAACCGTTAGTTTCTAAAATTGGCGCGCTAATAATACGTGTGACGTCATTTGGGGTTAAAATAAACCACGAGCTAATCATATCCGATAATATGAAAAAGAAAACTGTAAAACTTATTTACTATGTAATAGTAACATTGCGATGTGATTTGGTGTTTATTTTTGATTGAAATTTTCTAATGTGAATGTAAACATAAAAATTATAATAGAACACTTTAACAATACGAGTGTCCATGATATCCCGATAATATTAGAACAGGTTTCAAATTATTTTAGTGTCATACTCAATTATCGTAATCCACTTTTACAGTCAAAGTCGATATTGAAATTTGAAGTCACCGTGGCCTAAAGGATAAGACGTCAGGTGCATTCGTATGTAGCGATGCACCGGTGTTCGAATCCCGCAGGCGGGTACCAATTTTTCTAATGAAATACGTACTCAACAAATGTTCACGATTGACTTCCACGGTGAAGGAATAACATCGTGTAATAAAAATGAAACCCGCAAAATTGTAATTTGCGTATTTACTGGTGATAGGATCTCTTGTGAGTCCGCACGGGTAGGTACCACCGCCCCGCCTATTTCTGCCGTGAAGCAGTAATGCGTTTCGGCTTGAAGGGTGGGGCAGCCGTTTTAACTATACTGAGACCTTAGAACTTATATCTCAAGGTGTGTGGCGCATTTACGTTGTAGATGTCTATGGGCTCCAGTGACCACTTAACACCAGGTGGGCTGTGAGCTAGTCCACACATCGAAGAAACAAAAAAAAATTGTGCTGACGGCCTCATTTTATATCGTGATAATGTCTTATTTAGGTGGTAGTTCTTAGGCCTACTTTACGGTGACCTCGAAAACGATCGAGTGCCGGCCAATGCGTTAATTAATACACATTACTAGCATTAACATTGCGAAGGAAACGCTCAATAAATCTTCTTGCGTGAATCATTAATTTTTATTTAATGCAAAACAAAAATTATTTGTTTCCTTTTGGAAGCTTAACAAATGTGTTTTATTATAAAAATGATTTTCGTTATTATTGCAGGCCACGCGAAAGAGACGAAACAGAATGCGTAATAAGATGTACCCTCAAAGAAATAATGATGAGTGTGGATTTGGACGAAGTGACGAGTAAAGCCATCAGAGGTCGACTGGAGGAGGAGTTGGATATGGACCTAGCCGAGTACAAGTCATTCATTGACCACGAGATGCTCACGATATTGGGTCAGATGGACGCGCCGACAGAAATATTCGACCATGTTTATCTCGGTTCGGAATGGAACGCAAGTAACCTCGAAGAGTTACAGAGAAACGGGTTTGTATTGCTATTTACACACTGAAATGTTTGAGAATAACACGAATTTTACGTGACCTATATTAATTTATGCATGATAATTAACTTTGCAGAGTCAGACACATCTTAAACGTTACAAGGGAGATAGACAATTTCTTTCCCGGAATGTTTGAGTATCTGAACATAAGGGTTTACGACGACGACAAGACTGACCTATTGAAACATTGGGACAACACGTTTAAGTATATAAATAAAGCGAGAAATGAAGGTTCGAAAGTTCTCGTCCACTGTAAAATGGGCATCAGCAGATCCGCCTCTGTCGTAATAGCTTACGCAATGAAAGCATTCAATTGGAATTTCGACAGAGCCCTGAAGCACGTTAAAGCGAAAAGGAGTTGTATCAAACCGAACACGAATTTTTTGAACCAACTAGAGACTTATCAAGGTATCCTTGATGCAATGAAAAATAAAGAGAAATTACAAAGATCAAAGTCTGAAACAAATTTAAAATTGCCTAAATCGGTAACGAAAAATGAGAACAAATCAATGGAGCCGACGCCTCTAGTCTTAGCTTTGACGGGGTCGTACAGCGGCCGGCCGCGCTCGTGGTCGCCGGACACCAAGATAGCGTCTCAGCTCCTCCCTGCCCTCCCGCCGACGTCGGTTTCCCTCGAGAACTTAGCCTCCGAGACCAGGCACATGCTAATGCCGTGTGCCAACGGAAGCTACAGCGTATCACCGAATCAAATAATCAGATTAAAAGGCGAAGGCGCTCCATCAGTAAAACACATTGTGAATGAAATCGAGAATGCTACGTCGGGCGATCGCAGGGATCTGAGTCGTAGATATCAAAAATTGATTTTTGGTAGTCAGTATGATTGTCTCAGCGATCGCTCTGTCGATGTTCCTAGCGCTCCGAGCGTTCTAACGCAAACTTCTCCGACGCGCAGTTCCGGTCTCAAATATGCGCAGCAATATTTCGAAGGAGATAGAATACACACGTGGGACCCCGGGGAAACGTCTGCGTGTCGAGACGAGATCGGTCGCAATCTTAGTAATAGTGATAATTTAGTAAAAAGTGACAGTGGCATCGTAGATATAAAAACGAATAAAGTGACAATTAGTGACGGTTACAGTTTTATCAATTTGACAGAACGGAGTTTAGAAAGTGAAGGTAAACGAGTTCCCGACGAAGAAGCAGCACCTCCGAGTCGACAAAGTTCGTGGAGTTCATTCGATAGCGCAGTTGTACTCGATCTGTCTCGGCACTCTTCATGGGGCTCGTACGATACGAGAGGCGCCAAAACGCAGATCATCGGTCGGGAGGAATCTATTAAACGAGCCAAAGATCGATCTGACGATCGCAACTTGAAGAAGGATGATACAGAACGCGGTGCCGAATGCGCGGCCGCCTCACAAAAACAGCTCTCCGATCTCAGCATCATAAGAGAACACAACGAGGCACGCAACGCCGAGCGGCGACTCACCGACAGATCCGGCCTCGTGGCGGACAATGAAAGAAAATTTAACGAGACCTGTGCCATATTAAAAGAACTCGCCAACGCCGCAGCCAGAATGGAAAAAGCGAGAGACCGAGGGGCGTCCACGTGGAGCGGGCGCCTGGCCGCCTCCGTGCCCGCCGACACGTGGCTGCGAGCCGGCCTACGGCGGCGCCGGCCTGTCTGTGCTTCGCAAGGCGACTTGCCGCGCGCCGCCGCCGGACTCGTCAGTAACCTCAAAAAGGAGTTCGAAGCTCGCTCCGAAACCGATACATTGCGACGGTCGGAACCTCGCATTCGGACGGCAGCCAACGAGCACGCCGACAGATCTCCGGCGTCGCCACCTTCCGGCGAAGATCTCTCCGTGAAAGTTTTAGTAGACAGATACGACAGGCCCGGGCGTTCGAGGTCGGAGTCGGTCGGAACGAAAGGTCCACAAGAGTCCGTCTCGAAGAAATGTCGGTTGACGGCGGAGAGCGAGAGTCGCACTCGCACTCGCAGCGGCGCGGTGGCGCTGCGGAACTCGTTCTGCGGCGCATTCCGCGGGCTCGGCGCCGACCGGCCGCCGCCCGCACCCACCGTCCTCGCGTTGGCTCCTATCGACTATAACGATGTGGTGGTATCTACTGTGATGTCAAAAGCTCAAAACAAAAAACAATTGCAACACGGGAAGACGCATCCGTTGACGAGGCTCAACCTAAATCGGTCAAACAATAGATGTTCAAATCCTGTATATAACACTATGTAGAACTATTTGTTTTTATTTTTTATTTTTATTTATTGTGAATTCTTGCCAAACTCGAACTTTTATCTTACTAGAGTTTTATATGATACCTATATTTACAAATGAAAATGCAGTGTATTTGTCTATCTTGTAAAATTGTACTGAACAGCTGTTTGTGCGTAGAAGATGTTTAAAAAGAGAATAAACAACTCAATAAAAACTTTAAAATAAGTTTTTATATGTGACGTTTTATTAAAGGAATCTGCTATAAAAGGGCCAATTAGAAAAAAAACCATGGAATAGTAGAGAGGTAAAATAAAAGGCCTGTTTTGTTGAAAGTCCACCCTTGACGACATTTTCATTTTAAATGTTGGAGTTTCTCAACATTAGCCAAAGTCCACGCACTGTAGTCGTTTTCCAGTGACGAAGGAAACGCGGGGCACGTTTTGTATTTCACTAATATTTTTGTATGTGTCTGGTATTTTCGTATTTTTCCTTCTAATAACGCCAAAGTCAAATGCGTATATACCGCCTGGATTGTTGCGAATGCTGCACTCGGTCTGTGAACAATACTAAATAATGTATTGACTCTTACAATACAATTTAGTGCTCAACTAAACATTTGACTGTCTCGTCACTATTGCACTTTTCTTTCCTTAATAGTGTCATCAAGTGAGTTATAGTTTAGGAAAAAATTAATTTCGTTTAAGATAGAATTGGACCGTTTCATAACACATTAAGAATGAAACCCGTAAGAATTTTAATTTGCGTAAAAACCGATGCGGGGACCCACGTGTGGGCGTGTGGGTATCACCGCTCTGCCTATTTTCTGCGACGAAGCAATAAGCCGTTCCGGGTTATAATTATATAATTAAGACTTCGAGAATTATGTAATTAAGATGCCATAGGTGGGTGGCGGCATTTACAATTCTATGGGCTCCAGTAATCACGTAACATCAGATGAATCATGAAATAGATCACCACCTGCCAAAGCTAAAAAAAATGAATGTGTTACGTTTTTATAAACTGTAATTTTTATGAGTTTCAAACAAAATTACGTTCACGAATGTGGATGAAAATAATAAAAAATGTTCTCACTATTTTCATGTTAGCATCTATTAATCTCAAAATATTTGAGTCTGAGCCACCACACAAAATCAGGTTTGTCTCTGGAACCAGCTTCCCACAATACAATTTTGACTGTTGGTTATCAGGTTTTATGGTTTCAATCAATTTACACGAACCGTAATCCCAGAGCTGAATACAATCGTTCTCTTGCCATGAACAAGTGAGTATCTTAAAAGTAATCAAATACACGTGAAAAACGAAGCTTCCCTCAGTTCATAAGAATTATATCGCTTTTTTAAATTAAGATGTTAGCAAGACTTGACATTTTAGCAAGACCAGTAAGTGTTCTCGTCCAACTCGAATGCGACCAAGAGTTCGATGTACAACTTAACCCACTGACACAACCCAATGATCGCGGTACCGATCCGGCGGAGCATTGTTCTTGCTAGAGCAGATGTTAGCAGTCTCAGGCCGAGCCCAGTGGCTCGCCTTACCGTCCGACAAAACCAGAATAGTATACTGGTAATTTGTTAGGAAAAAACACAAGAATGTTAAAATTCTTTCATTAAAATTAACATTAATTTTATAGAATAAATAAAAAGTACAATATTTGAATATATGTAAATAGATAGAAAAAGAAAATAAATCAGCACAGGCTTATCGCGATATTCCAAGAACCTAACTCTGCCATTGCTTTGTCTATCATTCTCAGTGCAACAGATAAATACTACTGAAATACGATTGTGAAGAATGATACATGCGTCAATTTGGCATGTGGAATGATACATGCACGCGCATTGGAGGATTAAGCGCGGGATGTTGAATGAGAGAGGGTTTTAGTCGGGTCTACTCCACCATACCCAGTTTACTGGCGTTAAGCAATCATGCGTTACATTTTAAAGGGTAAGTCACTAACAATACAATTAATTCTAAAGGTAAGCGGCGATAGTAATCACATAAACACAAGTTAATATTATGTTAAATATTAAAAAAAATATTATGTTCACCTTTCCTTACTTGCAGGACTTGCCGAAAGAAAACAAAATTAGATTTAATATTAATATTGCAATTTATAATGCTTTTGACAATAATAACTGCATCTTGACATCCAAAAAATATGCATTTAAATTAATANAATTCTAAAGGTAAGCGGCGATAGTAATCACATAAACACAAGTTAATATTATGTTAAATATTAAAAAAAATATTATGTTCACCTTTCCTTACTTGCAGGACTTGCCGAAAGAAAACAAAATTAGATTTAATATTAATATTGCAATTTATAATGCTTTTGACAATAATAACTGCATCTTGACATCCAAAAAATATGCATTTAAATTAATAGACATAAATAATATAATAAAATTTAGATATTTAAGGACATCAAAAAATGAAATATTTAAATTAACTAATAAAAATTTTAGACAAGTAGCAACTTTGTCAATGGCAAAATTAAAACGCCTCTCGTCAGCTGAGACTGAATGGAACACAATAGCTTAATAATGAAGGAAATATGCAAACCGTTTTTCCAGGCTTATCGAAATCCAAACCTTCTCCACACATGTGAACTCCGAAAAGGTAACGTGTTGCATATGGTTGTCTATCATCCCAGAACATAACAGTGTTATCCCAACCTCCAGATATTAATTCATGGTGAGATTTTGGATTAAAAGCACATGCAAAAATTCTTGACGTGTGTCCGTCCATTATATTCTTACGTTGACTGGGAAAATGAAAATATCACATGCAACTATGTACCTCAAATGTAAGGATGCACCTAATAATATACATACCCTTAGTAGGTATTCATGACATAAATATTTACAGTGAAATTTTCAAATTTATTGTATTACGTGAAACATTACTGCAGTGTGGGTTAGTTTATATACATATACATATTAATATATTTTGATAATTAGCTAGAACATGATTCTTTAAACGTTGTCAATTTTAGAATTCGTTAAAGATTGCAACGCGCACTTTCTTCATGTAAAAATTAGCAACCGCCAATGCCAAAATGTTTTAGTGACTCCAAATTACACTGAAGTATGAAACCTACAAATTATGAAGGCGTTTAGAGCATGTCCTACTACAAAATTGACCATAGTGTAAAATTGCATTTGGCTCCATACGTCATACCCCATTTTTGTAGCCCAATCTCCGTCGTTTGGTTTTCTTTATAACCGCACTTTAATTTCGGAAGAATAGATAATAAAAATCCGCGAGAATTAAAATTGAAAGCCCTAAATATAAAAATATTAGTTTGACAAGTTATGTTTATGTACATACTTTTAAAGATGTTTTTCACTGTACATTAGTTACGGCCAAATTTAGTCATAAATATTTTTATACCTAGAATAAAAAGCCCTTTCTTGAGTTTGTGCTTCTTCATCATACATGTTCAATTTCGAATCGTCTCCATAAGTAATAAATTTACTAAATCGAGGGTGGTAGTTTAATCCTAATATTTGTCTTTTTTCTCTAATAGTATACAAGCATTGATCATATTTATATTTCCAACATTTAATGCATCCATTCACATCTGAAAATGAACAGAACTGTAGGAACAACAATTAGAAAACTTGTATAGGTTTTTGCTTTACTTCTAATTACTGGTAAGATGTCAAGTGCATCCGCACGGGTAGCTATCCGTTAGCGGTCCGCTATCTGTGAGCTTTGCAAGTTTCTAACAGATGGCGGTGTAAGTTAGCTTATCGACGTGTGCTTTGTTGTCTGGGTTACGTAAGTATCTAACAGATGGTGCTGGATTGTTTTTATTTTTATTTTTTAGATGGATGCACGAGCTCACAGCCCATCTGGCGTTAAGTGGTTACTGGAGCCCATAGACATCTACAATATTAATGCGCTACCCACCTTAAGATATAAGTTCTAGGGTATCAGTATAGTTGCAACGGCTGCGCCACCCTTCAAACCGAAACGTATTACTGCTTCACGGCATAAATAGACGGGGTGATGGTACCTACCCGTGCGGAAGAGGTCCTACCACCAGTAATTAAGCAAATTATAACTGCGGATTTGATTTTTATTACACGATGTTATTTCTTAACCGTGGAAGTCAATCGTGAACGTAAGTACGTATTTCATTTATCACTGGTGGTAGGACCTCTTGGGAGTCCGCACGGGTAGGTACCACCGCCCCGCCTATTTTCGCCGTGAAGCAGTAATGCGTTTCGGTTCGAAGGGTGGGGTAGCCGTTGTAACTATACTGAGACCTTAGAACTTATATCTCATGGTGGGTGGCGCATTTACGTTGTAGATGTCTATGGGCTCCAGTAACTACTTAACACCAGGTGGGATGTGAGCTCATCCAACCATCTAAGCAGTAAAAAAAAAAAAATTCCATTACAAAAATTGGTACCCGTCTGCAGGATACAAACACCGTTGCGTCGCTCGACACGAATGCACCGGACGTCTTATCCTTTAGGCCACGACTGTTTGACGACGAAATGTTTAATTAAAAATCAATGTTGGTCTTCTATTCGGTTCTGAACCTTTTTTCCTACTTAATTGCTGGTAGCCAAAGGGGCTATTCCAGCTACGCTTGGACTGGTAGGTGAGCTCACGGGCTTAACCTAAGAGAAATGCTAACACTAGCCCTAGCAAGAGCAGTGCTTCGCTGAATCTACCAGTAGATCGGAATCGCGACCTACAGAGAAGATCCGGCGAGAAACTCAGTGGGATGTGTCTAAGAGCTAAGTTGCACGTCGAACTCTTCTTCGTACCTATTTGACGTACATATCGGTTCTAAATTTATGTCGTCGTGAAGATCGACATTCCTCACGTACCACGGTGCTCCGAAAGCTATTCCGCAGAATGGATTGGATATTTCGAGAGAGTTCATGTGTGTGCCGACCGCGTGAGTGAACACTACATTTGAATAGGTCATGACGGCACGTAGGGTAGAGCCGACCGAGTAGGAACACGGCTCGGTCGCGGACTGTTTTATATGAGGATGGAATGTGATCCCTTTGTCGAGGGTGACGCCTAGGTACTTGGCCTTCGAGTCCCAAAGCACGGGCTTGCCAAAGATTTTGATAGCGGATATGAAGTCACCGCGCCTAATTCAGGACGAGATATTGGCAGTGGCGTCGGAAAGGCCCTTTTTGAAGAGCACGACTGTGCTTTTCATAGGATTGATGTCGCTCCGCCACTTCCGGAACCACTGTCTTAAATTGGTGGCCACGATCTGCGGCTTACTGTGGATCAACGACATCTTTCTACTCAAGTAGTAGATAGCCGATGATATCGGAAACTGATAGTGACAGCGAAGCGTGACCAGTTTTATTATGTAATTAACATAAAACTACTTTTTTTTTTAATATATACTCAACAAACGAAAAAGAGTGATAAATATAATTATCAAATGAAATAAAAGTTTAAATTAGGTACCATAAAAGAAGATTATATATTACTAAGATTAGTTTAACGTTACATGTTCTTGTAAAATGTATATCTTACATATTATTACAGTTAGACATAAAATGCGTTTTATTTTGTTTTTTATAAGGACGCTGAATGCAAGCAGCGCAGGACCGATCTTTGTGGTAAGGCTTAGGGGAGCCTATGTCCAGTAGTGGACGTCTGTGAGCTGATAGAATAGAATAGATAAGAACGCTTCTGTGTCCATTAACTAATTTTAAATAGGCAAAAAGAAAACAGTACAGTACCTATCTTATTCTCATCCGTTTGACAACGGCTTTCCTTTATTTTTTGTGTAGTAGGTAGGTATTGATGTGTAAAAGCTCTTGATGGGAGTTAAAAAAAGTTTTTTCTTCATCTTTACAATACACTACATAGTTCCTAATTTTTTGAATTGCCTAAATTTGTTAATTAAAAACATATGAAAATATTTCACGTAAAATTAATTTAAATCTTGTGGTGTCAGTGGATCAACACTAGCTTCATTAAATTCTCAATAGATCACTGATGCTCTTGATTAGCTATATGCTTGTATGTTTTTTAAATACCAGGAATTCAATGCTACTTTTTAGAATTAGTAAAGTACAAACTCACACGATGATAAAAGCGTATTTGTGATCGGGTGTGCTTTACTGACTGGACGATGCTTGATAGCGGTCACGGGTCCCGGATATGAACGACACTCATCGTCGACAAGCAAATGTGTGCAAGTTCCATCGTTGCAACTGAATAACCTTATTGTTCCATCCGTGAAACCAGTAGCAATTTCATTTACATCTTCCGTATACTTACAACACATTATTTCTTTGTTTGTGTCTCTACGAATTTATATTTGAATCTAATTAATTAATTTATTTACCTTTTAACATACGAATGTGCTTTTGGTCATATGAACAATGCATATTATGATTCGTCTTCCATATAGTTAATATTCATCTTAAATGAGATCACTTACATTACTGAGAGAACGTTAACTTGCCCTTGATATACTTGATTTTGTTCAAGAGGAAACGATCTATGCTCAACTTGAGGCATACTAGTGTGTACCGATACTATTTCCTTAGTTGGAGGAGCATTTCTGATGTAAGTGTTAGTAACTGCGAAACTTTTACGAGCAGTTTTGATACTGGTCGGTGCCATTGGTCCGGCTAAAGCTGTTCGCTTGGGTTCCATTATGAAATTTACTTTTTAAAATAACTGATTAAAATTTTGTAAACGATTGATAAATGCATACTTCATATTTTGACTTAGACAGTATCTGCCTTTGATGACTTTTGGCGGCGCTCATAAATTATTTCCATTCATTGGACCTATCTACGTATAGATATTAGCACTATAATAATCGTACCAACCTAAATTAATGACGTAAAATGTAGGAGGTAGTATTTGTAACATATAAGTACCATAAATGATTAATTTTTAGGGTGTTCTTTTGTTTTCGTGAATTGTTAGTTGGAACTACTCGTGCGGTTTGTACTAAATGCGCTTTATTTGTACTTGATTAAGTTTTCCTATATTAATTTTTTTTTCCCCTACCAATTGCTGCTAGGCTAGGCTAGGCTAGGCTGCTGGTAGCCTAAGGGGCTATTCCAGCTACGAGCGAGCGAGTAGGTGAGCTCACGGGCTCAACCTGAGAGAATTTGCTAACACTCGCCCTAACAAAAGCAGTGCTACGCAGAGTCTAACACCAGATCGGAATCACGACCCACTGAGAAGATCCGGTGAGAAAATTAGTCGGCTATCGTCGAACTCTTCGCCGTAATCGACGAGTTTGACGAAGACGGCGACCGGTGCTTAAAAGGCCTAAAAGCACCGAGAGTGAATCCGGAGGATTCGACAAAACATGTTGCGGGCGACGGCGGCTTTGTGTTGCCCCGTCGCCGTCGGATAAGAGCATATATTCTAATGATTGAACCTATGTACAACAGTCGCCTTCCGAAATTTGATCTCAACTTTATACATACCTTATGAACTAATGATGCTTTACATATGATAAATCTGAACGAAACAGGTTTTTAATTTCATATATAATAAATGTAGTTAATAGTCACGTAGGTACTTTTTATATACTGGTACAAAGTTTTTGCTTCACTTATTAATATATATATTTCATTGTTCCTAATTTTAATCGAATTTTGTGTTCTTATGAAATATATTATTTAAACCATAATACATAAACATGGTGGAGGTGTCTTCAATTGTTTAATTGTTTATTCACAATATTTTTTTTTCTTTTATTTTAATAAATAAATAAATATTTACTAACAATCACGCCATGTTAACTGGTCCCGTGATAAGTTCGTAAAGAACTTGTGTTACAGGTACCAGATAACGGATATAAATGTAAGATTTTTATTATACACATACATATACTTAATAGACATCCATAACCCTGGAAAAGACATTTATATTTATTATACAAATATCTTCCCTTGGCGGGATTCGAACCCGCGACCCCCCTGTGTAGTGACCATATCACTTACCACTACACCAGACGGCCGTTAAATATTTGACTGTTCAACCCCTATATAAATGAAATAACCGTATATCATCTATTTTGGGCTCCGGTAACCTCTTTACACCAAAAGGGGTGTGTGCTAGTTCACCCAACTACGCGGTAAAAATACTTTTTGAAAAATATATCACTTTGTTGAAAATACACGCATATTAAACAAATATGTAATTACTTTAGCATCTCGAATTTCGATTTAAAATTAAATCTAGAAACAACAAAAAAAAAAAAACAACATGCAACGCTAAATAAATTTTATTTCATGTCCATAATTATTTTTCACACTCAAACCATAATTTAAAGTACAGCTTAGCATTATTATATATTATTTTATTATCTCTGAGGAAAAACACAACTTAAAAGTAGATAAACAACGAGGGTGCTTCCTGGTAAAAAGACCTCAACATTATCCATACAATGACCACTTCAATCGTAGTAATAGCTACAAATATCTATTTCCAATAGAAAATACGGCAGAAATATATATTTTTTTCTTTCAGCGACCACACGAACAAAATAAAAATAAATTATTTATTATGCCGGCTGCTCTGCCTCACCAGGGTACTTGACTCCTAGACTTATTTCTATGTTAGTAGTGTTGGTACTATTACAATAGTCTATAAGTATTTATTTTGTATTGTTTAACTAGTCTATATAGTTTAGGATACAGTGTTCGAACTAGAGAAATAATTTGGCGTCCGTTAAGTAATTCAAGTCGATCTCTTAAGTTCATAAAATATTAAGTTTTTACTGATGACGTCATTTATTTAAAAGGCCTCTCTGTAATTTTTTAATTAATATTGCCCTTACGGTTAAATTATCATTTCCAAAATTTTGAATAATTACTTTACAGTTTTCATAACCAATAGAATTGCGGTCAGATTCTTTTTAAATGTAATTATTTAATGTAAAAAAGGAGCACTAATTATTTCTCTAGCGGCTATCGGCTTTTTTTATTACTATTGTTCCTGTCAGTCGGTTCGTAGGTTATTTTGCCCAAACAAGGTAATTTAAATCTGTGGTGTCCCGTGAATTTGACAAAGCATTTTATTGCGATTTTAATTAGATAAAATCGATTGATCAAGAAGCTAACCATTCCGCACACCATAAAACAGAAATATAGCTTTGGTAGTTTTCCAATTACAGAGCATGCGACTCAGTGACGCACAACGCCGAATTATGCTGAAGCTTAATTGGAACGTGAATTAGTTTTCAAATGCATCAGCAGAGTGCGCTAAGTTAGCACAGTTTTAATAATTAACATTGATTATTTCTAAGAAACTACGACGAAACGAAAGCCTTACAATTTTTTTCAACATTAAATAATATTACTAACGATAATATAAACAAAATTTCGATCAATGCCAACTTAAAGAAAAAACACTTGTCAATTTTCTGTCACTGAGTCGGTATCGATTGCGAGTATCACGCGAGAGCAGTACTTTTGAAAGTGCTCGATTNTTTAATTAACATTGATTATTTCTAAGAAACTACGACGAAACGAAAGCCTTACAATTTTTTTCAACATTAAATAATATTACTAACGATAATATAAACAAAATTTCGATCAATGCCAACTTAAAGAAAAAACACTTGTCAATTTTCTGTCACTGAGTCGGTATCGATTGCGAGTATCACGCGAGAGCAGTACTTTTGAAAGTGCTCGATTGTGCGAAGCGTTGCTGTAGTTGGAACGTTCAACGTTGAGCATTATGTCGCATAATGCGCTCTTTTGCTGTAATTGGAAAACTACCTTTATGTGTTGAACGATTTAAACTTTCAACATAAAAACACTTTATTAGGCACTTTACTAAAATAGTTAAAAAAACCACTGGGACCTCATTTCATAACATTTACATTGTACACAGCATATCATCAGATAACATACGCATTATTATTCACATTACAAAACAAATAATTTAAAATTTTCTTACTTTATTTTTACACATCATGATTCTTGAAAGAACCATAACGCAAAGCACCTTGTTAACCTATATGAGGTTGGTTGCAATCTAATTTATAGAAGTTTGTGTGAAAATTTCGGTAATCGGCATTTTTCTTAAACTAAACGAGACTTTTCAAGATTAAAAGTTCATTAAATGAACAATTTATTGTTGTATTTTCGATAAACTGAATGGCAATTCGGATTTCAATCTAATTTCATAATTTTAAGTGTTAAGAGACTTATATAATTCGCATTTCATTATTTTTTTGTTTGAATTTTCAAACCAAAATCGTTCTGTACATAAACAATAAAAATCAGTTTTAAATATAAATTAAACAAAAGAGGTTTTAGAGGAATTCAGAGGAGAAGGGTTTAGAAGAGGTCGACCGAAGAAGACATGGATGGAGTGTTGAGCTGATGGCTGATAGAAGAGATTGGCAGATTGGCAGTTGATTCTTAACTGTGTTACCTACATTACGTGCTAAAAACTGTAAATAGTAAAATAAAATTGTCGATTATTTTCGGTTGTACCGTATTAGTAATCCTTAACGTGATGGTGTCGTTTTCGAGAACGTTTTCAATACAGCTTGTAGTCTTGTAACTTATGTTTGAATAATACGAGTGGCTTTGATAGTAGATTACAGGATAAGTCTTATAGTGGACGATAATGTTGATAACACATGTCCAAAGTAAATAAAATGAATAATGTCACAAAGCAAATCCAGTGTCAAACGATCGCACCCGAAGTTGAAACCCGTTCATTTGATAAGCTAAGCATAAATACCTGTTTTAGTAAGTTCAAATTTAGTGAAGGCAGACATTGGACGCCACGAGACGGTTGAATTTGTTGAACAATAGTGCCATCATCTCAGGGATCCATCTCTATGTTCGAATTTTGTAATGTTAATTTACCATTTAATATGCATACTTACTATGCATAAATTTAGGTACGGCCCTGTACCGTAGCCTTTGAAATATTAAAGTACTATCATGTATGTTTATACTAAATTCAGTAGCCTGAAAGTTGATAAATCGGAAAAAACGATTATTCGTTTTATGTATCGTCGATTTTACACATAAAATAAAATATATCATAAAAAAGAATATTTTTTTGTTATTAAAATTTAATGCGATACTATAACTCAACACCCATAACTTTGTATTATTCTTTACAAATAAAAAACAACACTCATATAATTAAAACCGATTAACAAATGGTTGATATATGAAATTAAATAATATAAACATAAAATTAATAAATAAATAATTATATACCGCAGGTAACAGTAAGCCGCGTGCAGCTTTTCCGATCACCACTGCACTTTAGACACACTAACGCGCTTTGTAATAATTATTTTTTATTCAAGCAAAAAAGAAAAGTAGCAATATACATATTATTATTACACGTACACATATGTAATTGAAGTGTTAAATAATTTAATGTTTATTTAAGGCATTATTTTTGAAAGCTGTGCTTTTGTCGACTGCCGTAGCAATAAACGCCAAGGCGTGACGGGGAAATTAGCAAATAATCTACTACTATTATATTCCAAAAGGGAACAATACCAAGAGATTTTAATTGTGAATATTTTTTGTTGAAAATCAAATATAAAATTACAAGTGTGCATGTGTGTTTGTTTTGATTTTTAATTATTAATTTTAATTTAATAAACTATAGTAGGCAGGTACGTAACCTAAATGACGTTATATAATAAT